CCTAGGAGCAACACTGTGTTGCTATGTTTTAAGAACCGCAGCCCCCCCCCCCCCCCCCCCCCCCCCCGCAGAGGAACCAGATCACAGCGTACCCACCTGCTCCACCTCTCCAAGCGTGACTGGCTGAGTTTGATAGCGAGCATTCATTCTCCTCTGTCTCATGTCTATTCTGTTTCGGGTAGAAATAGCTTTTGAGACCGGCTGGGACAACTTGTTAAACAAGGCCAACTTCTCTGCTAAGCTTAGAGTGGAGGAGTCAGGTTCACCTTGCTCGGTAGAATCTCTGCCTTCGTTTGCCTGGTCTCTGGCTAAAGCCTTGTGGTGAGCAGATGCCTGTAGTCTGAAAGGGATAAAAAAGTCGGTGACACAGAGAAAAACCAACAAAAGCCCACTGCTAAATTGTGAATATTAACTTTCTTCCCAGCGTCACTTAATTTTGAACAGGGCTGACTTCTCCCTACAGAAATTTAAGACAGGCGTGGGCACCGTTTAGCTGTTAAGACCACGGCTAGCAGAACAGGCTGGGGAGACCAGCATTACCAATCTCACAAAGAGCAGGTCGTTAGCTCTGAATTATTTCTGCAAAGTGAATTTTCTCTTTAAGGAACTGAAGTCAGTTTGGATATGCCTTATCTTAGAGGGATGTGTATCATTAATATCAATAAGTAAGGCTAAAGGGAGTCCCAAGGCATTACCGATGGCATATTTAGACATTATCTAAGTATGTGGTTCAGAGGTATTCTTTTCATGTTATAGAATTAGGAAATAATACAGTCATTCGGCCAACAACATATCTGTAACAAAGGGTTTTGGTTTTGGGGGCGCCTGGGTGGCTCAGTTGGTTGGGCGTCTGATTCTTGATTTCGGCTCAGGTCACGACCTCACAGTTTGTGAGAGAGAGCTCCTCGTCGGGCTCTGTGCTGACAGAGCCTGCTTGAGATGCTCCCTCCCGCTCTCTCTGCCCTTCCCCTGCTCACACTCTCTCTCGCTCTCAAAAATGAAAAATAAACTTCAAACAAGAGTTTTGATTTTCACTAGCTAAACACAAATGGTTCAATTTTAAAGATTCCTTTCACTCCTTCCGTATAGCATTTTCTCTCATAACTTTCTACCAGTAACTTGGAAAAGTGAAGGAAATTAGGTGCTGATAAGTTCCTCCAACTTTCAGGTGGAGGAGAAGGCTTCCCGTTACCTGGTCACTGTGGATCCTAGAAGGTTTATGACAATGTATGTTTATGTCACTGGCAAATCCAATTCCCAAGCCCAGTGAACAGTATATCCTGTCTGAACTCCAATTAAATCACCAATTCACAAGCTGTCCCAGACCCGAGAGCAGGGTCAGTGTTCCAGGGTATAACGGATGGTGATGCAGATCAAGGAGAGCAATGGTCACCTACTTCGCCAAAGAGACCCCTGCTTCTGGGTGGTGCCACACGTGTATCTGTACTGCCACGTGACTTCTTCTCACCTTACTTTCAGCCGTTGTGATTTGGTCCCTCACAGTAAAACAGAGCGGATATTTACATGCCGTAAGGACATACTTTCAAAACACCACAACTGAAAACTTAGTAGTAAAACATCTAAGCCCAGACACTCTGAATTATTATTGTCCCAATCCCAAAATGTCATGGCCTTCTCTCTCTATACGTTAGAAATTTATAGGATTGTTTTTAGCATGTCTTTACGATGACAGGCGTTTTTAAAAAACTGGGGTATTACTGGAATTTCAACATTCATGTTAACTCCCCATTTGCCTATTAATCTTCATTAAGTGCTAGTATTTTAGAAGAATGAAATCTCACAGGGATTACCACGATCATGAAAAACAGAAACAAAACAAGCGGGTAAGTGAGTTAGTGCGATCCTAGTTCCGACACACAACGTAAGCAGGTAGGCGAAATGGTTTCTCATGCAGGCCTACACGGAGTTAGCGGAGTCTTGCGCTATGACAAAACAAACTGCCATCCGTTCCCAGAGCAACTCGTCGCTCTGACTCGTTTCTCAAGCAAATGACAGGCATTCAGAGCGTGAGACGCATCTGCTGTCTAGGACCTTTGCCCTCAGGCTGCATGCAGCTACTTGTGTCCAGTACCTGGCAGGCGACACAGGGCTCTTAGCTACAGTGGGACTAGGAAGTCTTGCCATGACGGGGTGGGTGGTCACAGAGCACGAAGCAGGGATAGGTTCCCTTTAAAAGCAATTGCCAAAGAAGGAATGTTCGTAAGGAGAGAGAAGAAAAGAAGCATTAAAGGAAAACACAGTTGTAAATTCAGAAACAGCAAATCAATATTTTCACGCAATTATTGGCTAAGTGTTTGGGGGCAAATTACAAAAGAACGGGAAAAGCAATTATAGACTTAGGAAAATAAGAAACAGGCCACGCAAAGTAAATGGCGTACGATTAGGCTTTGAAAGTTTGGAAAGGATCCACCCTATCTTCGGAATAAATGACCTGATTTTTAAAATAACTTAAGGGAGGGGCGCCTGGGTGGCTCCGTCGGTTAAGCGGCCGACTTCGGCTCAGGTCACGATCTCGCGGTCCGTGAGTTCGAGCCCCGCATCGGGCTCTGGGCTGACAGCTCAGAGCCTGGAGCCTGTTTCAGATTCTGTGTCTCCCTCTCTCTGACCCTCCCCCGTTCATGCTCTGTCTCTCTCTGTCTCAAAAATAAATAAACGTTAAAAAAAAAAATAACTTAAGGGAAAGCTGATATCGACACCAGCAAATCAGTAGATAATGCCCACGTTTCGGAATGTTGTTCTCAATCCATTTTGTAAAAAATCAGTGTGCTCGTATGATCTATAAAGCACATCAAAGTAGATTCGGGGCCCTTACCAGGTGGTAATTTTGGTTTATGTCTACTGTTTTACTCCCACAGGTAGTTGCTTCTTAGTTTACAACAGCCACTCAAACATGAAAAAAAAAAAAATGGGGCACCAGGGTGGCTCAGTCGGTTAAGCGTCTGACTTCCACTCAGGTCATGGGTTCACTTTTGTGAGTTTGAGCCCCGTGTCGGGCTCTGTGCTGACAGCTCAGAGCCTGGAGCCTGCTTCAGATTCTGTGTCTCGCTCTCTCTGCCCCTCCCCTACTCATGCACTGTCTCTCTCTCTGTCTCAAAAATAATCATTAAAAAAAAAAAAAAAAAGGAAAAGCTGAGCTGCCATGAGTTCCTAATGAATGCATGAAGTACTCATCCACAAATACACCAGGAGCCTGAGGAACAGCTGGGTAAGAAGTGATCAAACAGTAGGTACACAGATGTGGGCTGCTACAGATGCCTCGTGGGATGGCCATGCCCTGAAGGAGATGAACTTCCTTTCTTCAGGAACAGTGTGTGTGTGTGTGTGTGTGTGTGTCCAGGGGAAGCACAAAAGCAATTTTTAAAACACTGATAAAAGTTCTCACTTGATTGAAGCAATGATCTCTGAATTACTTTGGGAAATCCATTCTGAACATATAGGAACATGTTGCTCATGTACAGAAAGTCATCCCCGAGTCATATTTTGGGGTTTTTGGTGATTATTTAAAAACAAACAAAAAGAACCCTTATCTTTTTGGGAATCGGCTGAAATGCTGATGGATGAAACGGTATCTGGGGTTTGCCTGAAAACGATGCAGAAGGAGAGGATAAGGGAGTAGGATGTCGGTAGAGCATGACTGGCCGGCTGCCGACTGTTGAAACAGGGTGGTGAGTACGTGGGGGGTTCATTGTATAAATCTCATGTTTTAGGGGCACTCTGGGGGCTCAGTCGGTTATGCGTCTCACTCTTGATCTTGGCTCAGGTCATGATCTCATGGTTCGTGGGCTCAAGCCCCACGTCGGGCTCTGTGCTGACAGCACGGAGCCTGCTTGGGATTCTCTCTCTCTCTCTCTCTCTCTCTCTCTCTCTCACTCTCTGCCTCTTCCCAGCTTGCACTCTCTCTCTAAATCAATAAATAACTTAAAAAAAATAAATCTGTTTTAAATTTTCCGTTATAAAAATGATTTGAAAATGCACAGATGAACAACAATTTTAAGTTCCTCTCTAGGTTTTTCTAGGAGATACAGCAGGCAACACATCCCATTACAAAGTTCATAGAGGCCACAGTAAGGGAGATACTCAAGTACCAACTTCTCTGTTGGCTTCTCACTAAACCATCTCCTGATCACTTCACTTTATTTACAAGCCTCTAAATCTTTTTTTTTTTTTTCCTTCAAGAAGACATTTCTCCCAAGGCCAAGAGGTCACAAAGGGGGACTTACGTGGCTGCGATGGCCACTTCCTCGGTGGTGACGGGCTGGGTGTGGGATCTGTCCTGCAGCCGCCGCAGCCTTTGCTCCACGGCAGGGTTTCTGGAGCGTCTCTTTGGAACGTTTTTCTCATCAAATGATTTCTCCATTTCCTAAGATCAGAAACAATGTGGAATCCTTATAAATGTGGGCGAAGGGCGCAGGGGCCACAGAGCGTCTCTGTTCTGTCCCCCTACAGGACCCCTGGGAGGGCCCTCTGGGAGGGACCACCTGGGAGGCAGGCAGCATTCTCAGAAGTCCACACCCCTGCAGTGTCGGCTGGTGGTCACATCAGCCGGGGGCTCAGGCGGTGGGGGGGGCGCACAGGCCAGGGCGAGATGGGAGCCAGGGGCCACGCAGGGAACAGGGGGAGCGGGGTGACAGCTTCTCTTCAAGCACTCGGCGCACCTTACCCTGAAAAGCAGCCTCTTGGCAGCAACACTCAGCTTGGCTCGTTCGTCTACCTTTTCTTCATCTGCAAAAGGCCACAAAATAAACACCGAACATCGTGAGAAAAACGGAGGTGAAATCTCTGAAAAGTTTCCCAAGGCTGACTTGGAAACCCTTGGAAGAGAAGAATGGACGTACCCCAAATTACACTTGGTAGTATTTTCCCCTCGGAGGGATCCCATCCCTCTGCTCAGTGAAAAGGTGCTAATTTCCACTGCGCTTAACCAGACAAAACTCCGTCCGGACAGGAATTTTCTATTCTAATATTTGAACAATTGAGGTTTGAGAATAGATTTTTACGGAAGGAAATTCTCATCTTCACTGTTAAATAGTAACAAGAAATAAACAAAAATCTGCTTCTTTAGCCAAACAGTCGTTTCAGTATTATACATTCCACAGTTCTCTCTCAAAAATGAGGGAAAGCTCATCCGAGAATCTCAGCTAGGTTTTAATATTTTCACAGAAAGAAAACCTGCAGAAAAGAAATCGGTATGCTCCGTAATCTCATCCTCTCAAAAAAGTGAAATCTTATGTAAACCTGGTCGGGGTGAGACGATAGAGAAGCGGTAAAAGGAAAACAGATACTTGCCCTCAGCAGTTGGCAATTCTGAATGCGACGCAGACCTGGGAAAGACATTAGCAAATAAAAATGACAAAAAGTTAGCTGGTGGGAATAGAAGATCCAAATAAAAAAGCATCAGATTAAAAGTAAAAACAAAAGTAAAAATTCAATCACACTCTCTTAAAGAGTATCATCCTGCCAGCAAGTCTCGTTGTGAACACACAGGGACAGTTGTTAATGGACACGGTGGGGTACGTGTGCACACAACCCAGCCAGGTGCACACCGTGTGGAGGCAAACCAAAACGGAGTGTAACTTAAACACGACTGATCACTGTTTAAACAAACCTTACCATTTCTACGCGCAAGCATACGGTTGTATAAAACTCAACACGACAAGCAGACAGACATTTATAAGATGAATATAAAACCCCTATTTACTTGCCCTGGAAAAGTCAGTGGATACTCACTGCGGATTCTACTCTAACAAGGGCGTTAAGAAACGAAAAACATTAAATGAAGAAAAATAACGTGTCTCACTTCTTACCATCTAAATGCGGTGTAAAACGGTTAATTGTGATACTGTTCTCCCAGGAAGCGTTCTTTAAAAATACATGTATAAATATCTCTTATGGATTAGGTGGAAGAATTACGGAATCATCAGATCCATTGACACAGCACCAGGACCATCACTGTGGTAAAAATCCCGTAAGATGGCTTTCACGTTCCTAGACTGTAGAACTACACGTACGCATGCCTACCTATCTGATTCCTTTCGTTCTGCTGAGGTTATAGGTTGAGTTCTAAATCTCTCGGAAGTCTTTCTACTTTCACCAGGAGAAAAATAGCGTCTTGGTTTCCGGGACCCTCTCTCCCGTTCCACACCGGTAGGCAAGCCAACTCCTTCGGCTGACCTCTCAACCCGGGATTGGCTTTTAGAATCATTGGGAGGGAGGATACAGAAGGGAAACGAGAGAGAGAGAGAGAGAGAGAGAGAGAGAGAGAGAGAGAGAGAATAAAGCAAAGGTTTATGCATCTCAGTGAGGCAAGGCCCAGACACCACCAAATCCCACTGCATGCCCCGACCGTGCATGGAAAGGAGGTGGAACATTCCAGCAACCCAATACTGCAGCTCCCCATTAGTAGGCAGAAGCAGAATGGTAGTTTTTGAGCCATTTCCTGTATAGTCTGCCCTGCACACTGGTGAGCTAAGCTAACGTGACCCAATGCAGGACACCACACAAGTCGAGAAGTGAATAAATCTGCCAAGGACGTGCAAGTGACACATCAGGAGGACGTTTGAAACATCACCTACAGTTCGCGTTTCTTGCTGGCACTGACACACTCCAGAAAGGCATTTCGGAGCTGGGCGACAGAGACCTTTGTGTCCAGCACGCCAACTTCCGTGGGGGGTCCTTCGGCTTTGGAAGTCTGTGACTCGTGCTCTTGCTTTGAAGCGGGGTCCTTACATTTCAGGGCCTGCAGCTGAGGGGGGCCCGTGTAGTCAGACAGGGAGCGGGTGAGGACCTTGCGCTTCTTGGTAAATGCTTCCTTTTTGTGGCCCGTCGCCCTGGCATCTTGGGACACAGGCTCGCTCTGAACATACAGGACCACTTCCTGTCTGACCACCCTCTCAGCGGGTTGTTGCTGAGTGTGAGGCGGGTGTGACGGACTTTCCGGTTCCTTCCGAAGTTCGAAGGTGGCAGTGCTAACCGCGGGCTTGCCGAAGTCGTCGCTTCCAGAGGGTTCTTCGCGGCTTCTGGCAAGCCCGTGATCCTCCAGAGCCAAAAGCGTGTCCCTGCTTTCCTTGAGGGCTTCGGTGAAGAGCACATCCTCCTCTGCTTTTGATTCACAAATATGAAGAACTGGAGTCTCCTTCCTCTCACTTTCTAGAACCTTCAAGCTGGGAGGCTTCCTGACACTCTGGGTGGCTGATGCTCCCCAGCTGCATTCAGATACATTTTCTGGGATCTCTGAGGTCACCAGCGTGGCCGTGTGAACCGGGTCTGCCGGCTGGACGTAGCCGCGGATGGGCTGTCGTGTGGAGCCGGCTGCCCTGCTTGAGACCCTATCAAAGGCCGAATTTTCTGACTGAAAAGACAAGCACTGGACAGGCACTGGCTGCTGTCTCCTCTGAGTCAAGGGCTCTGAGGCGAGTTCAGGGCTGTTGCGAGCACTCTCCTCTTTCACCAATTTTTCTCTAACCTTAACTCTTTAAGAAAGAAAAAGGATTTAAGTTGCAAAGTACAGTAACGGCTCAACGGGAAGAAAGCATGCGCGGATCATAGCTTGCCCATGAACGGAAAGCCGCCCAGAGACAGAGCCACCGTGACAACGCATTTCTGGTGGTTAATGTCAGAAACCTACCACCTGCCAGACGAACGAGTTTGAGTCTGGTTTCCAAATGCCCGCATGGTGCAAAAACTAACTCTGCCCTCTAGAAAGCTGACAAGGGGTCAGATGCCATCCTGGGTGAGAATGGATGCCTTCTGACTACATGAATGACCAGAAGCCACAGGAAAATCCATTAGTATACACCACCAGTATGCATGAGGGCATACTGAGGCTGGTGCTGGGAATCAGTAAACTCTCCACATGTACGGGCCTTGTGTATGGACTGCGGGGGGGGGGGGGGGGGGGGGGGGGGGGGTGGTTCCAAGTAGACATATACCTATTGACCAAACGCAATTTCACTGTCTCCTGGAAAGGTAAGAGCATTCGTGATGATTATTTTTTTTTAATTGAGCTCAAGCTACAACAAACAGTCACCCTTTCAAGAGCTCAACTAAACATTCGCAAGCTTTTTCATGCAAGGCAGACTATATGCATTCACGTTATTACTACCAGCATTACTAACAACAATTTCTACCGAGAAGAATGTTACAGAAAAGGTGTTTGTTGAAAGAACTAAGGAACCGAATGCTTTCTCCCCTTTGGAATTGCTATTAGGCCCTTAGTTTAAAAGGGATCGCTCGGCTTGCTTCTCCAGCTATTTAAGTATCTGAGAGCAAAACCGAAATCCAGTTTAAAAGCCTCAAAGCTTCTTCAAAAGAGTAAACACTTACTAGTGTTAGCTCCTACTCATTTGTACTTTTTGTAAAGCCACGTAGTGAGAAAGGAGAAACCACTGAAGCAGGTGAAGAAGGGGATTACTAATTGGTAATCATCTTTAAAAAGTAAAACACGTTTTTGGAGTGGGAAAAGGGATTTCTTAGGGAACCTCAACCTTCATTTGCTAAAGATCAGTCAGCAAAAATAATTATGATGGACAGTTTTGGAAGAGAGTATTTCCTTAAATGACAAACGCACCCTGCTAAATTTGATATAAACTCCTACATGTTTTCAGCACAGGATGCAGGGTATCTGTGTATATTTCATTCAGAAAAGTCAAGGACACATATAAAAGGCAGTTATCATGAACTATTCAGGAGGGGGAGAAAAAAAGCACTTGGAGTTATTTTTCCCAGAGACTAGGCAGTGTTGGAGGTTTTCATATTTATAAGCTTTGTTAATCAAAACAAGACTGAAATGTGGTTCAAGTTCTCCTGTGGAATGTGTCCCTCTAATCAGAGACAATCTGAATGTTGTCCTCAGCTGAGGACAAAGTGACTGTTAGAAACTCAGTATATGGGTGCTTTGTCCTGCCAGTGACTTATTCATTCTTATTCCTTCTGCTTCTCCCTGCCCCCAACCTTAAAAATGAAATGAAACTTTTTTGTTTTGTTTTTTTGTTTGTTTGTTTTTTGTTTTTTTGTCTGCCTTTAAAACCACAATGCCCCGAGTACAACTGTGGAGAATTAACTAATGGTTTGGAGATGAGGAGACATGAAAAGCAGGAGGCTGGAAATGCTGCGCGGAGGGGGTGTTGCCAGGATGGGACGCGAGCTGGTTAGTTAGTGTGACTCAGGAGAGCAGCCCAGTCCTCACTACTGCCCCCACTTGACGGTATGCGGGCAGGTGACAGAGGAGAGAGGCCAGAAGTGTAATCAAAACGTTTTTCAGAAACAGGAAAAAAGAGGGAGAAATACGATTAGCAGGGGTCGAGGGTGACTAGAGGAGAAAAGCAAACGATCCAAACGTAACTTCCCGCAGCCCCTTGTGAACACATGACTTTCAAACGCACCGTGATTAACCGAGGGCAAGAAGAGAGTTAGAGTTTGGTCGTGGGTGGAAAAGCCGGGCAAGTCAGCAGGGGCAGTAGCAGCACTCACTACACATAAGCCGAGAGTTTCAACCTGGGATATACCTGGAAGGCCAGTTGATAAGAGAAGGTGTGTCCCCTTCGGAATCTTTCTGGAGAAACCACTCATATTTGGGTTTCCCGGTACTATCATGTACAAAAGACAAAACTTCAGATAATGTCTATTCAAATGTCAACATATGTGCAGACAATTATAATGTGAAACCTAAAGGCTGTTTTTTTAAGTAAAGAATAATCCTGGCTTTTGAAAACGTATAGGCACGTTTTGTCGGAGGTTTGTATTTATTTCACAAGGGACGTGTGGCTCCCCACTAATCTCAAGAGATAGAAATAAATCTATCCAAAGCCACCACATAAAGCATTTTTCAAGTACTCTGCAAGTATTAGGAGTCTGTTCCAGTTACCCTGTCCCCACAAATACCAGGCAATTTTCTTGTGAGAGTAGGATTAAATGTCAATTTATAATCTATAAATTCTGTTAAGGTATATTGGTAAATAGCCAAATATAAAAATAGTAATCATACAAAACAACACATATCAAATAAAGGAAATAAGTAAAAGGAAATTCAAGAAGATCAAAGCTTTAATTGCTCTTAGACATTTTCCTTTTATATTTGTCACGGAATAATGCAACAAACATTAACAATTACCAATACTAATGCAGGTCAATTCAATAGATGTTAACTGAGTTCCTTCTATGTAGGAAGCACTGGACTAGGCTCTGAGAAGTAACAAAGTTGACTCAGGCATCATCCCAGCCGTTAAAAAACTTACACCGTGGTAGGCAAGGTAACATATGATTTACACATTCATTCCTCAACACACGATTGGATATAACACCAAGTTGAATGGGATGAAGAAATTAGGCCACATTGAAGACATTTTAGGACAGGCCGGGAAAACCCTGTGGTAACCATGTAAAGCAAATCACAAGACGAACAGTCACACTACTGATCTGTATCACCTAACAATGTAGAAAGAGAAAAAGGAGGGGCGCCTGGGTGGCTCAGTGGGTTAAGCATCCAACTCTTGATTTTGGCTCAGGTCATGATCCCAGGGCCGTGGGATCGAGCCCCATGCTGGGCTCCACGGTGTGTGTGGAGTCTGCTTAAAATTCCCATGATCTCTCTCTCTCTGCCCCTCTCCCCTGCTCTCTCTAAAAAAAAAAAAATTGTTTAGAAAAAGAAAAAGAAAATTCTACACGCTAGTTAAAATGTTTACCAGCCCCAAACTGCAACTTATTTGTAAGAGTTCTTGAATACTAGGTTGGAAACACATTTGAGCTCAAAGCAATTTCCAAAAAAAAATAGAGTGGCAATGATAATAAAGTGATCTGAATTTTCTAAAACCATTTTAGTTCAAGTTTTAGTTTAAGCTGACAGGCCAGAACCAGTCTGTAACCACTAGTATACATTTTTCTGTGACCACTGAAATCTGTCCTGTACTAGGCTTGGACATTCCCTTGTCTTTCCACACCCAAACTGATCAGCCCAGTCTCCCTTTCCCCAGCATTACAGCAATTTAGTCTGTAGCAAACAAAAAATTTAGGTGTATGGCAAAGCCATTTTGTTTCCAACTGTAAAATTTGGTCTAATTTTCAACACAGGAATAGTTAGCCTATCACCTGCAGCTAAGAAAGGAGGCCATCACTCTAGCACAGGATATAGTGAGAAAAGAGGAAGCAGCAGCAATCTGCTTTTGAAAACCACCAACTTAATACAATATGCCTCCCGCACAAAATTATCTTAACGCTCACATGTGTTTTGTATAAGAGAGTGCTTTTTAAACTAAGAAGTGCTATACAACTTTCTGAACATGACTTTCATTGATAAGCCTAGAACTTTTGGTGGTCAGCCCCACCAAAAAAAAAAAAAAAAAAAAAAAAAATTGATCAGGGGCTTAAGAATATGTTGGGTCAGCATCTGAAAAATGAAAATCACACACAGACACAGGAGACTTGCTGGGCTCCATTTATTCATTATGCCACTGGTATGGAATGAGCCAAAAAACCAAGTAAATACTAGCGTGGTAGCAAATACTCAAATTTTGACATTTCACGTACGATACGTATGAATGTAATGAGAAATAATCAAAACTATGCGAAGGCATCATGCTAAGAACATGGCTCCTCCTCTCCTTCCTTCTTCCTAGACAATATTGTACTGACATCTCTGAGTTACTGCTTTTATATTTTATTTTTTTATAAATTTTTTTTAAACATTTATTCATTTTTGATAGAGAGAGACGGAGTGAGAGTGGGGGAGGAGCAGAAACAGAGGGAGACACAGAATCGGAAGCAGGCTCCAGGCTCCGAGCTGTCAGCACACAGCCTGATGTGGGGCTCGAACTCATGAACTATGAGATCATGACCTGAGCTGAAGTTGGATGCTCAACCAACCGAGCCACCCAGGTGCCCCTATTTTTTTTTTAAAGTTTATTTATTTTGAGAGAGAGTGCATGTGCCAGTGGGGGAGGGGCAAAGAGAGAAGAGAAAGGGAGGGAGAGAATCCCAAGCAGGCTCCACACGCGCCGTGGAGCCCAAGAAGAGGCTCCTGGGATCATGACCTGAGCCGAATTCAAGAGTTGGACACTTAATCAACGGAGCCACCCAGGCACCCCATGCTTTTATATTTTAGAGATAAGACATACAGAGCCCACTTCATAAGTCATGTGATTTTAAGGAACACGGGTCCAGCTTCAACCAGGAGGACCAGTGTGTCTTAAGTAAATTTACAGCAGGAGTGATTTAGAACACAGTAAGGCACTAGGATGTTTGCGGTTGGCTGAGGCACTTACTCGGGAGATCTTTTCTGCTATCCGAACCAGAAAATAAGGTGAGGAGTTGGGGAGACAGTCTGACGTGGGCACTTTCTGCCTGCAGGCTGCTCTGGACATGCGTTGCCACTGTCGCACAGAACGTGCTCACTCCTTGGTTCTTCTCTTCCTCACCCACTAGCGGCATCAGATACCGGGGGTCGCTCCCTTCACCTGGCGCAGTCTTCTCAGTCTCCGCCTCCCCCCACCATCTGTACCTTTGGAGTTCAGGGTGCCCACGATGGGCTCCTCTCCCCCTCCACTGACATTCAGTGCCTTAATATTCCCAGTGGGCTTTCACTTCCACGCTGACCACCTTCTCATTGTTTACCTCCACCCCGACCTCCCTTTCAACTCAGACTCTTGGACTCAACTGGCCATTTGATGCTTCCATTTGTCTATCCAATAGACATCATAAGTCTAACATGCCCCAAAACGGAACTCTTGATCGCCCTCCAAAGTCAACTTGCACTGGAGCCTTCTGTATTTCAGCAAATGGCAACTCCGCTCCAAGCTGCCCTGCCAAAAAATCAACCCTCCCCTTTGATTCCTCGGTGTCTCTTACACCCCACATCCAAGTTATCGGCAATACCACTGGCTGGCTCCAAAACCTAACTCCTTTCACCCGCTCTATTGCTGCCCTTCTAGTTCAAGCCGCCACCGTCTCTCACCCAGATTACTAAGATGACTTCCTAGTTATTTTACTTGTTTTCATCTTTGCCCACCTATGGTCTGTTTTCAAATTAGCATCCAGATTGGTTATTCCTCTTTCCATCCCTTTTATGACTCTGCACATCATTTTGAGTGAAACCCAAAGCCCCAGTGATGGGCTGCAGACTGGCCCTGATCTGCCCACCCTTCCTCTCCCACCTCTTCTTCCCCTCCCCACCCCAGGTCCTGCCACCTCAGAGGCTCCATACAGAGTCCACTCGGGCCTTTGCAGGTGCTACTTCTGCCTAGGCTGACCCATCCCAATGGCTGCATGGCTGCCTCACTCGATGTCACTCTCTGCTCAACAACTATCCTATCAGAGGGCCATTCCTAACCATTCTATATCGAATAGCAAGTGCCAATCGTTTCTCTCTCTGCTTTCATTGAATTGCTTGAAGTTGCTTCACAGCTGTGGTAAGTATTACATCTGTCACATTGCATATGTATTTGTTTGCTGTCTTTCTCCTAGGGGAGAAAGATTCACTAGGGGCAGATGAGCTTCTTGAGAGAAGCCTGTTATATCATCAGCACCCAGAATAGTGTGTGGGAAAGAGCAGGTCTCGATAAATATTTGTGGGATGGATGAACTGTTGAATGATCATCCCCATAATAACCCCTGGAGGGGTTCTTTTATTTTTATTGTTTAAAGTTTACTTCTTTATTTGGAGAGAGAGAGAGAGCGCGCGCAAAAGGAAGGGAGGGGCAGAGAGAGGGAGAGAGAGAGAATCCCAAGGAGGCGCCCCACCATCAGCATCTCAGAGCCCGATGTGGGGCTTGAACTCACAAATCACGAGATCATGACCTGAGTCAAAATCAAGAGTGGGATGCTTAACTGACTAAGCCACCCAGGTGCCCCAACCCTTGAAAGTATTCTTATACTTATTTTATAGATGAAGAAAGGAAAGTACCCAAAAAAAAAAAAAAGTATTATTAACTGCCCCAGATCACAAGCTGGTATATAAAAGGCTGGGGCTTGTACTCAAGTGCTGTGAGATCCCTGAGCCTACATAGCTCCTCCAGAGCTATAGGCTTCAGTATTCTGGAAAATGAATGAAAAATGAAAGAGGAACCCCTCCCTGGCTCGAATGAGAAACGATTCAGTTAGGGCGCAGGTGTTCACGCGTTCTGGGGCTGAGCAAGGAAGGTACCAGGGCGTCCTGGCCACACCCACCACCCTGACTGGATGTTGGTCTCTCAGCCGTGCCTGTCCCACCTTCAGCAGAAAGCCTGGCAACTACCTGTAAATCCTGCAAAACCCAATTATCCTCTTCCTCTGTTTTGTTTTTTGTTTTCTCCCCATGCACAGCACGGAATCAAAGGAGCCTGGCAGTGAAGAGTAATTTGGCTCAGAGGGCACTCACTGCTGAGGACGGGGTTGGGGGGGGTGCGGAAATGCAGGGGCCCAGACTTGGCCAAGGTGCGTGAAGCCTGGTCGCCGTCCCCCACCAGAACCTCCTAGAGCAGAAAATGTGTGGACGCATTTCAACCATTTGGAAACAGGAAAACTCGTGGGAGGGATAACCTGAGAGCAGATGATACTGGACGTGAAGTGGGAAGAATCAGACATACCCTGAGGCCCAAGGGAATGCTTCAGCTTGACT